TTTGCTATTTTTGTCCTTGTACTTCAGACATAACTTAAGTGCTTGGCGACCCAAGGATTAACGAAAATCCGCCGCTCCTGTCATTCGGCCTGATTTTTTACAGATTGCATAATGTCCTCGCACGTCGCTTCCAGGCTGAACACCCTGATTGGACAGACGACCAACTTTTCAGTCGTGCCAGGCGATATGTAATCGCCGTTTTGCAGGTAGTTACTTTTACTGACAGTCAAATGATAATGAAACATTTATGCTTTGCATTCATTTATGCATTTACTATTGCATGATGCAGTGAAAATTAAAATTGTTTCTTGAAATTAACCTATGTCGCGTCATGGAATAACTGGAAGTTGGATAAGTTTTAATCGCGTTATCGGCAGAAAATCGTTTATCTTCAAGTGGAAAGAAACCAAACAATAAAACAATAGCGTGGTAGAATTGCAGGCTTAAATATTTCGTTCACGATGCATTCTATGTAGCTTTGAGTCGTAGACGTAGATCTGACGATGAGCTGCAGAAAACTGTTGGGGTATAGACCAATGCTTAATGGCTGTCTAATGGATGATCGGTACAACAGCAGGAATTTAATCCTTCAATTTTGTCATTGTCGTATCAACGTATCGGACACTGTTAAAAAATTTATCAGCGCTTTCTGTGCGTAAATTTTAATGTTTTCAATTGCTTTACATTGAAATGATCGTTGCAGAATTGATGCGTTCACTTCCTGAAATACCAGTGATACCTTTCTTTATGCATTAATCTTTAGCAACATCAGCAACAACGCTTCCATTTGATGCCTACGAAGTTTCCAACAATCTCTTAGTAACTCAAAATTTCACGAAGATATTTCATGTTTTAAGACTGGTTGTCTAATTTTGTGTGTTCAGAACATAATAATGTACGAGTTCCTACCCGCTTTGTTGGATGAGCCGACCGCGTCATATGCAGGGTACAATCCACACCTTCCACCAGGAATAAGCAACGAATTCGCTGCAGCTGCCTTTCGATATCCGCATACGATGGTGCCTTCTGGAACTTTCTTACGGTAAATAAGATCGAGTCTCGCTTTAGAAGGGGCCTAGAGCAGAACTTACGTTGTGTTAAACTTTACAGTATTTCAAGTGCTCTGCTGTTCATGCAAAGGCCATACCTCAGCTGCGCTAAAAACTGTCAGCGATGAAACCCTTGTGACAAAATATAGGAGAATATTGGTTATGGTTGCAAAATACATAAATATCTAGTATCGTAATATTCTCTTTTTAATTACGCGGCGCTACTGTTCTGCAATATTGTGCAGCTTGAAGTTTTAAAAGTTTTAGACCATATATACGATGTCACTTTTCATGTGACCAGACATCCTGATTTGCAACTTTATGCAAAGAAATTTAAAAGGAAAAGTCGTTTCAAAGTTCCTGTAAAATCCCTGAGAATCATGAGTTAAACTAATTCTTGATCTTCGGTCATTCCAACAAAACTAATCTTGCGACATTCTACAACTGAGTTTTCTGAAGACAGGTGAAATGGTTACTCTTTTTTAGCACGTGAAAAGGAATAAATCCGTTATCTACCAAGCTTCTAGAAGCATTTCAAGTGTTTTCAGAGGTACAGGCTCTGAAAAGTTTTGCAGCAGCTTTGTACAGCTTTGCTGTCATTTTCATTCAGAACAGACGAGAGCAATTTGTGAAAGATTTTAGACTCTTGACATACTTATCTACCCATTATCCAACTTTAATAAATTTTGTGTTCAGAGATGGTAAATGCCATTTTGAGAACAACGTTGGAGGTTATCCGGCGTTGCGTCTTTGCAACACGTGGTGGAATGCGCAGGTAATGTATGCTTTTCTCTCTAAAATCATCTCACCCTCATTCTCTTAGGATGATCTACAACGCTATAGTATGGACGAATTTATTTTGGGCATGGCGTCTCAAATCGCGGAAAAAGAGGATCGAATAATCGTGTCAGATTTGAGAGGTGCCATTGGCCATGCAATTTGAGAAGTGCGCGATTTTAATGCGCTCGCTTCGCAGATTATGTTTTTGGGCCTTTACACTTTTCGAGGCGTGATCTGACGGCGCTTACCATCATGCGAGGACGTGATCATGGACTTCCAGATTACAATACAGCCAGAGAATTCTTCGGTTTACCTCGAGTAGCAGATTTCAAGGGCATAAACCCAATGCATTATCGCGAAGATCCAGCAGTCAGAAAATTCATTGAATTCAAATTTTACCATGTAAAATGCGTTTTTAGTTTTACAAGAATCTGAGCAAATTATACGATGGAAATATTGAAAAACTGGATATTTACATTGGTGGAATATTGGAGTTTTCAAATGGTACTCCCGGACAGCTGTTCAAACGAATTATTCGCGAACAATTCTATCGCCTTCGAGATGCCGATAGATTCTGGTTTGAAAACATAAAAAATGGGTATTTAATTTTATCGGTTGTTTTCGATGGGTAAAATTTAGGATAACCTGCTGAATGCAAAGTCATTTCGTTGACATAACTTATGCTTAGCGTGCACTACAGTAAAAGTTAGTTCCTTCCCAGCTTCTTCGTAGCAGAACTTTCGTTTCCTAAGGAAGGTCCGCGTGAGGCACACAAGTCTATTTATGTTTTCTCCCTGGTAAACTTTCACTCTGTAGTATTTATTTGAAGATAATGGCAAGAATAGGGATGCGATCTGCGATAAAATTGCAGCAAATAACCACAGTTGTGAATGTGATATACTGCTTCGACCAGGCGGAAATTTGTAAAGGATTTTAAAGGGAATTCTAATATCATTTCACAGATGTTAGACGTGTAATTAAGCTCTAATCATATCTTATGCGTGTAATGGACTAAATGTAAAAACTGCTGTTTGTCATCATTAACGAAGAATATCTCGAAATTCTGTTTTGCTTCAAAACGAACTCTTGGACCTCAAAACTGTAATAATAACAGATATCAGTGAGGAGAAGATGGCTGGAGAGCATTGGGCAGTGACATGAAGGTTCTTAAAAGGCTTTTTCCTCTAGAGCTACCGCATTCCAACTCAAGCGTGGCGTAAAATTTTCTTGTCAACTGCTACTTCCCTTAAGTGAAGAATTTGTCTCAACATGCTTCTATTATATCTACCGAAGAATCGATAGAAGGTGTTTGGGTGCAAAAGTTGGGCCGTTATGTTGTGTCCATGCCAGTCCGTACGAACCGATGTTATCTGACTGTTTGTGTCTGTTAAGATCACAAGTAGGAATCGTTTACAGAAGCAGAACGTCTCTGATTTGCGATGTTCGTTGTATCTACAGCTTTTCAACGCTTTTGCTAAAAGGCATTGGTAACTTCGCTGAAGAAGGAAATATTTCTCTCTGAAAGCAGATCTACTCTACTTGTTTCGCCAGCTGACATTCCAATATCTGCCGTGCTTCGGCTTCCGTATGAGAAATTTATGGGCTTGACTAAGGGATTTATGCGCAACAAGTGTCATTAAGAGAAAAAAAATTCATTTTCATAATCTGCTCATCTACTGATGTCATCTGTGCCCAAAAGAAAACTGATTAATTCCTTAATTGGCCTTGCCATGTAACTTTCGTCATTCGTTGAAGCCAACGGTGGTATGTGCTGCTCAACGGTCATGCTTGCTCCAGAACCGTCTTTGTGCTGTACAAAAGCACCGATGTTACAGAGGCAAGATATACGAGGGTTTTTGGATACTCCATTCTTAGCCCAAGTATTCGGAAGGATTTCAGAAGCGTTCAAATTTGGACCGATCCTCCTGTTTAACTCTGTCTGGATAGGGCATTAGCTGGCAACGAAAAATCAGATATATCTAACCTGACCAACCTCGTTTCATCTCCCTGTTTCACTTGTAGGTCACCTGTTCCAGATGGGTTTATCATAACTTTTGATTTAAGGGCGTTTAGGAATAGACCGGACTTCGCGGCTCTATTGTATTCGGAACGAGCTGCGCCATTTGCAGTTGATGAGTACGTATTCTAGTTTGATGATCTTTGCCCTAGGCTCATTGCTTGTAAAAATAAATCGATTAACCTCATTTTGGCGGTCGACATGATGGAATCTTCTTTAAACACTAGATAAACCCATGAAACTTCCCTTGAACGTTCATTTCGCTTCGACTACCGATAATGGTAATGGGGGCAGGCAGCAGGCACTCTTCGCGTAGGTCACATTGTTTTTGAAGGTATCTATTTCCTACCATTAAACAAGTACTTACTACTGCGCGTTAATCGTGACAATGGATTGACGTTAAAACTGGCTTACCCCATCCCAAACGTCCCGTTCTCTCGCTAGTGTCGACTGACTTGCTACATATTCAAGATCTGAGCCTTCGTACTGCTGCTAAGTTGAAAGTCTCATTGGTGTCGCTGGACCGGATAATCTTCAAATTTTCTTCAGCTTCCAACGCCGCTTCTCCTTTCGGGTCACGGAGGCAGAGGAGTCAGACAGTGCTTCCAACGTTCCCGATCCTGTGCCAGACTCTGAGCTTCAGCAAAAGACAAATGCAGTCTGGAACAGACTCCTTCAATATATTTGCACCAGGTTAATCTTGGCTGTCCCTTGGGCCTTTTTCCGGTCAGATTTGCAAGGAACAGTTGCTTAGCCTTCCATTCTGGAGGCATTCGCAACACATGTCCAAGCCATCGCAGCTGTGAC